TTGTTACGTTTTGAATTGTGAGTTCTGAGGTGATAGGATGATAATGGGGAGGGAGTGAAGGGACAATCACGAATACGATCACACCTACGCAGGACTCGCACCTGTAGCCTCCTCGGCGTAGACGACGGCTGCCGCAACTGCGCCACAGGGTCGACATTATTATTATTATTATTATTATTATTATTATTGTCGTCCCTCAGGCCCGAAGGCTGGTTGCCTCCTGTCTGGATCCGGGTTCTAGGCTCCCCAGAGAAACGCACATGATGTGATCGGAGCCCGGAAATGCGCTCTTTTGGCAGCGAGAGGATCCTTTAAAGCCTGCTGTGCTCAGGAGTTCCGTCGGGTCTCTGGAAAAGGATTTTAAACTCGCTATTGCTATTGGCACAAGCAGCACGGTTTTGCCCTCTCCAACTATATTGGGAATCTGCAATACTTCTTTATTTTTTCCTCGTCCATTTTCTTCCCTAATTTCACGACAAAAAAGTTACGAATCGATCAAATATAAAATCTATTTCAGGTTGCATCTAGCCTTTCCTTATTGTTAGTAGCAAATCTAGTGACTGTCGTTCCTTTACAATTCTGTGCGCAAAATGTGGGCTGTTCCGAATAGTTCTGCTCGGTAGTTTTCCGTGGTCTCCTCGATTAACACCAGGCGAATGCCGGAGCAGCACCACAACAAACGGGCCAATGATCGCGCGCGGTCTTTCCCTCCTAATCCTTTTCTTGCATCAACCTTGCTCTTAAATGCGCTAAACTACCATACATGCCTGGAGACCGGTCGGGAGCTTCGAGCTTGTCCGGGCTGGTGGGAGACCCCTGGTTGGGGAAGCTCGCTACGCGGCGGTAGGTCGGCGCCGGATCTCGCCAGCCAGCGGAGGAAGATCACCGCTACCTGCCGAGGAAGAACGTGCACACAACCTACGGGACCAATGTCCTCGATAGTTGAGGAGCCCGGAATCTCTTAGAAGCAACCATCGAGTTTGTGCTCGCAACTCGCGGAGTGTCTTTAGAGGCATTGCGAGTTTCCTAAGTACTTTAATGTCCGTATCTTCCCCCATTCTTAGAGGTCCTAGGAAAGTCTTATGAGTAATATAAAACTTCTTTGGTTATGCTTCTTAAGAATTCCATCCGGTTCTTTGAGAACAGCAACGAGAGGTGGGGGGCTCAATAGCGCACCTCAGAATAAATCGCTTATCTTTAAAAGAAAATTCTATATTTAAAGATCTATTTAGACATTTATTACAATAATTTTCTGCAAGTTTGTGTTTAAATATGTGCAGTTTTTTAGCTACAACAAGGGCTGAAATATTATGAACATTTTGAGTACTTGCGGTCCTTGCCGCGGGGACACAAAATGGCCAAGTAGTTTTTTGTTGAAGAATAACTCCACCATTCATATTGCTGCTCTGATTGCACAAATGTTCCGTATATTGGCAGATACTAAAATAAGACATACATGATTATGAGCAGACCTGGTTGTAAGCTTGATAGTGATTCCAAGCGCGTCAACTACTAGGCATGTGTCCCGTAAGTGTAGTGCATTTTTAGCTCGGGCGTTGCCGGTGGGTCTCCTCCGCTGTGTAGCCAGATCCGGCGCCGACCTACCCTCGATTTGGGGAGATTTCCCCAATCAGCGGGACGCTGCCCCAGCCCAGACAAGCTCTAAACTCCCGCCCGGCCTCCCGGCGTGTGAGGTTGTGCAGTACATGTTAGTGTACTAAGATCGCGCGCGGTCCATGGCCCGTTTGGTAGGGTTCTGCTCCGGCATTCGCCTGGTGTTGACGGAAGAAACTACTGATGAGAGCAGGCCGCTGGAATTCTCCTCCAGACAGGCGGATCTCGGCCTAGCTAAGAAGTCGAAATCCTGTCGCCGTCGGGACTCGAATCTAGTCCCTCCCGATCGGAGGGACTGCAGTAACAATCATTTCTCCCGGTCTGGTTGTAAGAGAAAGATTAGTTTTGTACAAAGCGATAAGAGTTGATTGAAGCGAGTATCGTTTACAGTTAGAGTAGATGCTCACATAACGAACCAGTGGCTACATCCCCACCCGACGCCAGACGAAGCGATGCGAAGGGGCTGAAGGGCGTGGCTGGTGTGTGTGTTGCAGGTGGGGCGTGGGCCGCCATGCGCCCGCTGACGCACTCCTTCCTCTTCTGCTGCCCGCTGCGCACGGGCGGCGTGGCTGTGGCCGCCGCCCACATGGTGAGTCCCCCGCCCCGCCCAAGGCTTTCGCTCGACCACCTGGAAGGGCGTTTTCTTAATAGGCAACTATGGAGCTATGCTACGGGTACAACATGAACCCGTATTTACTTGGCTCTCCGAGTGACGTCCATGGCGAAGGTGCCGACGTTTCGGTCGCCATTCTGCGACCTTCCTCAGGGCGTAATGCGAGGAATGTTGCAGAATGGCGACCGAAACGTCGGCACCGCCATGGAGACAGCGTCACCCGGACAGCCAGGTAAATACCGACTCCGGCCGCGGAAGCCTACGCTCTAACATGAACCAGGATTATCACCTATACTTGGATTTACTGCCCCTGACGTACGTCAGCTGCTGCGGTGGCAGTCGGCAGGTTGAACGTCACCATGGTGATATAAGCTCCCGATTGGATGACACCGCAACAGCTGGCGACTGCCACGTGCAGCTCTAAATAAATCGAGGTATAATCGGTAGATTCTAAACCGATAATTATCCATGCTTAATCTATAACTGTAATATTAATTTATTACAAAGATAAATTATTTGTCATATATAATAAATTAATGATATTATAGTAAAATAGTTGAACAAATATAGATGAATCGTGTATTCTGGTTCATGTACATATTTATCCATATAATATTCCCTGAAAATTACATCCCTCCCCCCATTAATTCAAAAGTTATCTTTGAAACCAACTTCTAAATGCCAGTTTTGAGAAAATGAAGTTTGAAAGGGCACGTGAGAGCGTGATGGATTTATTTCATTTCCCTGAATTCATTTTATTTCCCTGAAACCAATCGAGACACCGACCTTATTTTACGTACTTACAGATAAACGTACATGGAATTTTTTGACGTTTTTTGTGCAAAGAGACGAGTTTTTGAATCTGCCTCCCCACGAAACAATTTCCCCCGTCTCCAAAACAAATTTCACAACAGTCCTGGATAAATTGATTATTGTCCAGGCATTTAATTATTAATTTGTATCATTGGTATTTGCGTTTTTTCAAGAGGAAATTTGGGTCGTGCGGTTATATTTATTTTCGATTGAACTCGGATAATATTTCGTATAATTTTTAATTTCCGTGCAGACTCAAACTTCGAAATAATTTAGGCATACCTACGTATCACATGCGCTCTTTCCGTACAGCCCCAAAACGCCGGCTCATGAATTAGTGAGTTTTCTCCTGCAACTTGAAGAAAAATGTCAGTGTCCATTGTTCACATGATTCGACAAAAGAGCGATTATATTGCGTCACTTGACTGAAGTCAAAGATGGCTGACTCGTCTTCACTCTCAACTTTGGGAAGGAATAACATGCCAAGATCCCTGCCCATGTGAACAAAATTGTCTAACAATACACAAATGGAAATAAAAGATTCTTGCTCAGACCTTGCTTGTGGTCAATGATTTTATGTGAAAATATTTAGTACTGTTGTTATTTTATTCTGTATTTTTTTTTGAAGCTGCGAAGTAATCATTACTGAAAATAAAACTCAAAAAGTGAAAGGTCTCTTGAAATCAGACCTAGTCTTTTTATAACCCCTCTATAGGATTGTCTGGTTTTAATGTCTGTTTCATGGGTAATGGTTTTGAGAACGTATCTGATATTTAGGTCATGAAATTCCGCCCAACTGATAGCTGCGAAAAACAGAACATTTATTCAATGGTGGATCTGAAAGTGGTGCCAGTATAGACATATTGGAACTTACGAGATATTTCCTTAACGAGCATGGTTGAGAAAAAATACGTATGTATCTTTCTCGTGCCAAAAAAACTAATACTTCTCTGATTAAAATTCAACACTTAATCACTGAAATTGAACCAATTTAAAGAAAGATAAAAGTACTTCAAACGGCCAAAACTCAGTAACTAGTTTAAAAAACACAAGTGATAATTACAATCTGGAAAAAAATTCAAATTCAGAGCACGATTCTTTCAGAAAAATTTTGTGTGTAGGAGAAAAAATTGGGAGGTTACCTTTCAGCACTGCCCCGGGCCCAAAATTGTCTAGTCCTGGCACTAAATACGCACTAAATAAACAGACAATTAAATAAACACTAAATAGAAAATTAAGTGAAAACCGGCCACAAAAAAGCCGCTGACAAAGCGCAAACTCCTCACCTCAACGCAACGCACAGTTCACAACGCGCGCCCAGCTACAGCAGAAACGCTGGCGCCGGAGGAAAGATTCGCTGCACGATGTGCATATGTTCTCCGTTCGTCAGCGGCAACTTAGCGTCCTGAACCGACACGTTTTCACTCTGGTTGGCAGCTTCCATGGAAGCGGGAGAGGCGTCCTGACGTCGCACAGAACTGTCAATCGCCAACTTCCATTAATCGGACCTTAGTACTTTGTACGTTAATCGATCTGCAGAGAAAGTGATCGCGATGGCTCGCTTCTAATCGGATGCGGCTTCCCCCCGCGTGGAGTGAACCCGCGCCAACGGCTATGGGTTTTAAGATTTGCGAAAGCTAAGTTTACCAAAATGGAGACTTTCGCCGTGTTGAAGCAGTAGATATATAGAGAGTTAATGTTGATTGACGGCTGCCGCTAATTTGTGGGAGTTGCCGTTGCGTGCTCGGAAACATCGACCACAAGCGCGATTATCGAGGCATCTTCGGCATGATTTTCCTCTCGCCGAAGCATTAGTGAAAACATCGTCCCTGTGAAATCGGTACCTTCATTCCTTGATGAAGTAAATAAAATAACACCAATGAGAAATAAATTTTGGAAAATTACATTTTGGAAGTCATTTTATCTCGAGAATTATGTGATGAATCACATTATGACTATTATAGATCAGAGGATATTTGAAAAAATACGGACCAGGTTAGGGCTGGTCTACACTCGGCATCCTGCCCATCAATAGGATTTATATACTCAGCCATTCAGTTGCCATTAAAAATATTGGAGAAGAAAACAGAAATTGCAAAATGATTAACAAATGCGATCGTGCTCTCACTGCAATAGACAATTCGTACTTTCTCGCTGCGGAGTAGAGAGAAAGTTATGTAATGCTGTGCGAAAAATCTGCGAGTTTTCGGCAGAAAAACTTTCTGCAGGGCCCTGGCTACGAAAAAGTATATAAATCCACTAGCTATATTTAGAAAAAAATCCTCTATCGCGTGGTGTAGCAAGAATTTGTTTTCCTTGATATCGAAAAATCGAATGACGGCAAAACGTGTTCCGTTAGTTCGTCTGTCTGTGCACAACGCTAGCGGGTAAACCGCTCAAACAATTGGGTTCGTAGGCTTCCGCGGCCGGAGTCAATGCATTCTTGGCTATCCTGGATGAACCTCGTCTCGGTCAATTGTGCTGACGTTTCGGCCATCTTGCTGTGGCCTTCTTCAGAGCTATACTGCTGCAGCGTTCAATCGATTTTCTCCAAAATTGATATTCGTCCATCTATGTAGCCAATGCCACGGCCCCTTGAATTTGAAATATATTTTAATTTTGGTGGGTACTTTACTCGGGACATTGTCTGAAAAAATGGCTCAATCATTTTTTGATAAAATACTGTTGTTAGATAGTGTGAAATACGTTTAAGTACAGGCCTCGTATTCGTTGAAAAACCTGTTTATTAAAAAAAAAATGTCGGAGTCTTCCTACAACTATAATATTAAAGACAGAGATTTTTCTCCTTAATGACATCTTTTTCTTTAAAGATAGATTCTGAAGTGAGGTCATGTACAATTTTTAAAGAATTAAAGTACCTTTCGCGTAATTTAGCGTGAAAATCCGGACGAAAAAATACGTGCTGATTTAGCTTCACTAGTTGTTTTTTTTTAAAGCATCGTTAGTAAAATCCAGCATCTTGTAGAAAAAATGGAGATCGTACCCACACAGGTTTTCTAAAGCTGCGTGCTTTTTTTTTTTTTAATGTGTATTGGGAAAATTTCTGCCTATTCAACACATGGAAGAGAAAATCCATGCGTTTAATTTGTGCAAACGGAAAGCGAATTATCATGCATTACATTACATAGCATTTGATGTTTTGTTCATTGTGCAAAACTTGAGAGATGCTTCATCGTTCATACTGCTTCTAACACATGAATTAATCATGCGTACATTGCCACATGTATTTGGTTATGCAGTATATGCCATTCGTATCACCTCTTTGCAGTAGTGTATTTTGTGAACAGGAATTAGTATTCGCGATACTACTATGTTCATTACTTGTAGAAAGTTCGTCCCTAATTGATCGCAATCGTATTCGAATATCGAAAAGCAGTTGATATTCTCGATTGTACACTGGAAGTACTGTCGCGCACAGAAAAATAATTTTGAACTAGTGACAAAAGAACTGTTTTCTTATGCCTTCCCGTTCTGGTGTTTATTGTGATTGCCACGTAGGGGAAGAATTTGTCCAGACCAACTGGCAGGTTTCATTTTTAAAGCTGGATGCTTGAAAAAGTTCATAATCTTCCCAAAAGTATGTACGACAAGTTTATTTTTTAATAATGTTAAATGTTTTTCAGTATTTCTTTAACGTAATATTTAGTATTCTTTTGTCTCGTGTATTGGTTAACTAATGGTTCTACAAAAGGCAGGCTTTCTCGTCCGAATTAGTATCCTAGTCTCTTCAGTCTGGGCTAGCTTTTCGATTTCGCCTCCATCCTCTGCCAAGCTAATGCCTACAGGTGCCAAACAATGCATTTTTTTCTTCAAAATTTATCGGTCCCATAACGGAATTGAAATTTACTTTAAGAATATGATAGATTAGTAAAACTGGGTTCTACATGGAAATAGTCATTGAAACATTTTGAGCCTTTTTGAGAATGTTGTTTGAAAGTTTGTTGGAAATGCTCAAATTTGAGCTCATTTTCAGAGAAAACGTTTTAGTTTTCAATAAACTTCATTAGATTTCGTTTAAAGCTCTTGTATTGTTAAATGCAATAGTAATGTAATTGTAAATATTAACAACGACCTAATATATATATATATATATATATATATATATATATATATATATATATATTTGAAAAAATTCATGTGTAATTTATGAAAATCAAAAGAATATGTCAAATGACGTGTTTGACATTTATTTAGTGCATTTAGCAAAATACGCACAAAAAGCTTGAACAAAATTTGAAGCAATCTCTAAGATTTTTAAAGTAAATTTGGCCCGTATTTCACTAAAATTTGCGCGAATATTTCTAATACATATATTTTTTTTAAATCTTGGAGAAATAATTTCATTTGAATCAAAAATGTCTTCGATATAGTTGTAGAGAGACGTCTCAAAATCCATTCTTCGAAAATTCGGCATAAAGTATACAGACCATTTTTATAAGGATTTTTTTGTTCTATCTGCGAAAAAAAATAATAAATTGCAGCCATTTTTTAGAAGATTTTAAAAATGTTCAGACGTCATCTAAAGAATTCCCCCAAAATGAAAATCATCGACAGCAAGGATTAGACCTCTTGGTCTGTTCCGTCTCAGAATTGTTCATGCCATCTGTTCAAGGGACGTCCTACACTTTTTCCTTTAGGTACGTATTGAAGAATAATTTTAATATGAAAATATACATTTCAAATTGAAGGGGCATCGACATCAGATCGATTAGGGAACATCAAATATGGTTAAAATCTTACCTACGATTTAGCCGCTAGCGTTGTTCACAGACGGATAGACTAACGGACATTTTGCCGAAAAACAGATATTTCTATAGCAAGGACCCACGAGAGGTGTATTCTGACTACACAGTGTTAGAAGTAACGTAGGGGAAACGGTTGTTCCTAAGAACACTTTACATCATTAATTTTTTTCTCTTCTTTTGAATAAGGAATTGATGAAATTTCCCTTTGTGGAACGTTATACATCACAACATATTTATGTGAAATACACTTGTGCCCCTAGGGACGTCCATAGATTCAACAACAGGCATTGCCCCTATAAATAAATAGGTACAACTATCTGCAATCATTAACAAACATGGCTACTCTATGGTTGGTTATTTGTAGTAACAAAGTATAAAATCTACTAAACACTCATAAAATCACAAAACAGCTCACTTAACAAAATTTTTCACTTGAATAAACGTAAGATGGCAATATCAGTGTAGGGAAAATAATAATTCGAAATTTCTCTCACCTACTCATTGGAAACATGCCTTGTCCCTAGGTACGATAGTTTCCCCTACTACATATTCGAATGAGATTTATCCAATACTAGTTTTTCTGTCGAAATTTCGTCACCGCTTACAACACTTTCTCTATTTTACGTTAGTAGTGCTCCAGGAATTGTTTGAAAAAATAAAAACGAACAAAATATACCTAAAATGTGTCCTAACTGGAGATTGTATTAAGATTGAAATTCTTTCAAGACTTTTGAAAGATGACCACCTTGGTACATAAAAACCTCAGCCTAGCCTTTAATCACTGTTCATTTTAAACGAGATTAATGAAATATCGCCTTTACATCAGACCCCGCCTCTTTGTGTGAATGGTTCGGGATCACACCATTTGCGATGAATTTTATCACATTAATTACTTATTCCCCTCTATCCTATGAGATTACGTAGTGAATAAATGAAATGATTGATTGGTGTACAAAAAGAAACCTTGATTGAGAGGATAGCAAACGCTATACGTTGTACAATTATTCTGTGTTTGACAGGCCTCAATAGAGGTCGCATTGCTGCATTTCATTGTCATTTCCACGTGCGTGCTGCATATTCATTCCCGGGCAATCTAAAGCGAATAACAGATTTCAGTTCTGTAGTTTTTGGTATTTTTCAGTCCAAATCCGAATACTTTGTGGGTACTTATAACAAGGTGGACTTTTGTTGTTGAGCTTATAAATGCGTAGCAGAAGCGCTCAACTGGCACGTACGCTCTATTCCCTTCATTTGTTCATTCCGAGCTGATGGCAACAAGGTTAAATTACGTCCCTGGAAAAGCTGCTGCTATTGCGTGCCTGTAGGAAACCACTGACGGCGTCATCGCGTTTCTCGCAAAAAAGTTCGGTACAACGTATAGCTGCTGTTATTGGGTGTTGTTGCTTGAGGTTTGTCGACGAACTACTGCTATCTGAGAATTTTACGTCGCGTTACAAGTGACAGAAGACATTTTGAAAATATTCGTACTAAAATAAAGTCTGTCTTAGCAGTTCCTTGAAATCATCATAATAAGCAATTCAGCGTGTTCTAATCAGTTTGTTAGTTGGGGAAATACGCTTTCGAATTGAGTATTAAAGTGAAATGTTTTAGTCAAAAGGAATCCTTTCAAAGAATTCGTAAATTTTCTTGGATGTGGTACTATTTACACATACTGTAGGTAAATTTAACGCTATGGGATATGAAAGGAAAGAAAATCCTTGACGCAAATGAGCAGCTACTGAATCGTTGTACTCTTATGTTTTTCTTCGTTTGTAAATGAGGGATCTGTTGACTTCGAAATCATTTTCTTACAAGAGTATGGGTTATCGCAGCCCAGAATTGCGCAGCGTTCCCGCACTACACAGAACAGAGTTCTTCATTCGAGGACCAGGTAATTTTGTGCATGTGCTATGCTTTGACAATTATATTTTTCGTGAATGTCAGTGCTACATATGCTCTTGGCAGAACCTATTCGATTTCAGACTAGTGTGATTTTACTTTTTTGGTGCGAAAGAGTTTCTGGAACGGTTTCTGGTGTGACTGTACAAATTAGAGGTGTAGGAAATCGCGAGAACCGTATGTATTTGTTGCTGAGATACGCGCTGAACTTGTTCATTTTTGAAAGGCGGGGAATAAACCAGGCTCGAGCATGGCATAGTGTATCTACAAATGACTGAATTCGACTTCACATCGTCATTCAAACTTTGTTGACACACACGAGTCGCATATAAGGAATACTTGGTAAAGGAGTGTTTGTCAATAGAAAAACTCGGAATATATATTTTTTAGTTTAAATCCTAAAATTAACCGATGTTAATGTGCAGAAACAAGAATCTGGAAAACATAACTTGTCAATAACTGGACTATGCATAGTTGTCATATCTAAAAATATGTTTTAAGGTTTTGTCTTCAGTGATTCTTCTATTGATCAATGTGAAATGTAGTTCTTTATTTAGTACAAACTTTACTGCATTGAATTGAAAAGTTGTCTAAAAAGACGAGACGAAAAATTTGTTCAAGTTTAAATAATGTCATTGGACTGTAGGTATTTTATTAACAATACAGGTTAAACAATTATTCAGGTCTTAATCGAATCAATTTTTCTATAAATTTTCATTCCTATATTAGAAGAAGTGTAGATTATTGGAAATATTTTGATCATTTACCAATCGGTGTTCAATTAAAAATGTACAATATTTTAAATAAGCTAGTAAATGTAGATGCGTAGTAAGACTATCTTAAAGTAACATTGTATCAGGCAACTAATACATACTAGTCACAAAATTGCCATTATTTAGAATTTGCTGAATTCCAGTTTTGTTTATGAACTAGGTACTGTTGTATTGTGTGTTATTCAATATACTATTACATTGTAATATATGCTTATTTTTAATATGTTTACAGATAAGTACTGTGTATATGTTTTTTATTGATGATAATATTAAATTCTCTAAATTTCACTTATTTGAGGCTAATGCAAAGACTTATTCGTTATGGGTAATCTTCGTTTCAGACTTTGGCAACCCTGCGCGCAAGGTAAATTAAATCGCTGCTACCCCCCATGATGGCTGCCTTTATGACCTTGCTTCGTTCTTCGGCCTGACTTATTACGCCGTGCTGTGGAATGGATTAAAATTTTATGAGTACTTCGGGGCTTGTTCTTTACTAGTGAATTGCAATCACATCTAACAAAATGGCAGCTCTAGCCGAACAAGCGTCTAAATTGTTAGACTTCAATCAAAAAATTGACATTAACCTCCTTGACAACATTGTAGTGTGCATGTATTCTGGTGTTGGTGATCAACGTCGAATAGCCCAGGAAGTTTTAACGACTTTAAAGGAGCACCCTGACGCCTGGACGAGAGTTGACACTATTCTAGAGTTTTCTAGCAACCAACAAACGAAATATTACGCTCTGCAAATATTGGAACAAGTTATTAAAACACGATGGAAAATTTTACCAAGGAATCAATGCGAGGGTATCAAGAAATATATTGTTGGGTTAATCATCAAAACCTCGTCGGATCCTGTGGTGATGGAAAGGGAAAAGGTATATTTGGGTAAACTTAACATGATCCTTGTTCAGGTTTTGAAAAGAGAATGGCCAAAGAATTGGGAGTCCTTTATTCCTGATATTGTAGGAGCAAGCAAAACTAATGAAAGTCTTTGCCAAAACAACATGGCTATTTTAAAATTGTTGAGTGAAGAAGTTTTTGATTTCTCAACTGGCACATTGACTCAATCAAAAGCTAAGCATTTAAAGAACACAATGTGTGCAGAATTTTCCCAGATATTCCAACTTTGCCAGTTTGTAATGGATAGTTCACAAAATGCCCCACTTGTGGCTGCAACATTGGAGACATTATTGAAGTTTTTGAATTGGATTCCTCTAGGTTACATTTTTGAGACCCAACTGATCACTACTTTAATAAACAAGTTTTTAGATGTTCCTATGTTTAGGAATGTTACTTTGAAGTGTCTCACAGAAATTTCTGGTGTAAATACAAGTGAATATGACAGTATGTTAATTCTACTCTTCAATCAGACAATGGTACAGTTAGAGATGATGTTACCTGTCAAAACAAACATTCGTGAAGCATACAGCCAAGGTCAAGATCATGAACAGAATTTTATACAAAATCTGGCTATGTTTTTGTGCACTTTTTTAAAAGAACATGGTAACTTACTTGAAAAGGAAGAACCAAATGGATGTATTTTAAAAGCTTTACATTACTTGGTGCTAATATCGGAAGTAGAGGAGGTTGAGGTATTTAAAATATGTTTGGAATATTGGAACAGCTTAGCAGCTGAATTGTACAGAGAGTTTCCTTTTGGTGGATCGTTTTCAGAAGTTATGATGGATGTAAAGGCACGAAATAAAGCCTCTCCCAGAAGACGATTTTATAATTACATACTTATGAAAGTTCGTTTTATTTTAATTAGTCGAATGGCAAAACCAGAAGAAGTTCTTGTAGTAGAAAATGAAACTGGTGAAGTAGTTCGTGAATTTATGAAAGATACTGATTCTATTAACCTTTATAAAAATATGCGTGAAACATTAGTTTATCTCACACATTTGGACAATGCTGACACTGAGCGCATCATGACAGAGAAACTGCAGAATCAAGTTAATGGTACAGAATGGTCATGGAGAAATCTGAATACACTCTGTTGGGCCATAGGAAGTATATCAGGTTCCATGCATGAGGAGGATGAAAAAAGATTCTTGGTAACAGTTATCAAAGATTTACTTGGGCTTTGTGAGCAAAAGAAAGGTAAAGATAATAAAGCTATTATTGCATCTAATATAATGTATGTTGTTGGCCAATACCCAAGATTTCTGAGAGGACACTGGAAGTTTCTTAAAACTGTAGTGAACAAATTGTTTGAATTTATGCATGAAACTCATGATGGTGTTCAGGATATGGCATGTGATACTTTCATTAAAATTGCTCTGAAATGCAGACGTCACTTTGTAGTCCTTCAACCTGGAGAAACTGTTCCATTTATTGAAGAAATTCTTTCAAATATTAGTACTATAATATGTGATCTTCAGCCATCACAGGTTCATACATTCTATGAAGCAGTTGGGCATATGATAAGTGCACAGTTAGACCAGGTAACACAGGAACAACTTATCCAGAAATACATGATGTTACCAAATCAAATTTGGGATGATATCCTTTTGCGAGCATCAAAAAATGTTGATGTTCTTAAAGAAGGAGACACAGTTCGACAATTAACATCCATTTTGAGAACCAATATTAGTGCTTGCAAGGCTCTGGGACATCCTTATGTTTTGCAACTTGGACACATATTTTTGGATATGTTAAACATATACAGAATGATGAGTGAAAACATCACCACTGCCATTGCGTTAAATGGTGAAATAGTAACCAAACAGCCATTAATAAAGGGTATGCGTGTTGTGAAAAAAGAAATTCTAAAACTAATAACTGATTGGGTGAGTCATTGCCAAGATCACACCATAGTGTTGGAAAATTTCTTGCCTCTTCTACAGGATACTGTTTTGCTAGACTACCAACAAACAAGTGTTCCATCAGCTCGAGAACCTGAGGTTCTTAATGCAATGGCCACCATCATCAATAAGTTGGAATATTATGTAACAAGTGAAATACCAAAAATCTTCAATGCTGTGTTTGAATGCACTTTAGAAATGATAAACAAAGACTTTGAAGAATTTCCTGAACATCGAACAAACTTCTTTCTTCTCCTGCAGGCAGTTAATGCTCATTGCTTTCCTGCCTTTTTAAGTATACCGCCTGCACAATTTAAACTAGTACTCGACTCTATCATCTGGGCGTTTAAACACACAATGAGAAATGTTTCAGAAACTGGTTTAAGCATCATGTACAAATTGTTACAAAACATAGAACAACATGACTGGAATGCTGCTCAAAGTTTCTATCAGATGTACTTTACTGATATATTACAACACATACTTTCAGTTGTAACAGACTCTTCACATTCATCAGGATTGTACATGCATGCATCTATTTTAGCCTACATGTTCTATCTTGTAGAATCTGAAAAAGTCAAAGTTCCTCTTGGTGCTACTCCTGACAATGTTCTGTATGTGCAGGAATATGTGGCTTCTCTTCTTAGAAATGCCTTTCCTCACTTAACAGACAATCAAATTAAAATAACTGTGCAGGGTCTGTTTAATTTGGATCGGAATATTTCCGCCTTCAAGGAGCATTTGAGAGATTTCCTTGTTCAAATTCGTGAGCATGCTGGAGAAGATGATTCAGATTTGTTTTTGGAAGAGCGTGAAGCAGCATTACGTCAGGCCCAAGAAGCAAAAAGACAGACTCAGATAGCAGTGCCTGGCATATTAAATCCTCATGAGTTGCCTGAAGAAATGTTGGACTAAAAAGAATGATTCTGCTGTGTAGAAAAAATGTGTTGTTTGCTTGCCTCTTGCTATGGTTGTTGAAAATATAGTACTTGATAATTGAATGCCTGTGTGACATTTCAATGAATCTGTGTGTTTCATGATGAAAGAAAGTTAGATTTTATAGGATATATATATGTATCATTTTAGTCTGTAACAAAGAATTACAGTAGGACTCCTTTTGGTTTATGACGCAATAATTCAGCATTTCATTTAATGAATGAATGGATTTTTTATGTATGACTTGGATGTTACAAAGCTAAATTTCAGTAATTTGTGACAAGTCTACAGTGTGTCTTCTCAAAGATACCAATTAGTTGTGTTGACATTTTTATTTTCTGCTTTCATTGCCTTCTGTGTGTTTGGTAAATTGTTAATTTGTAAGTGAACTGGAAATTACTGCATCACGAATTCATAGTGATAATCAAAGGTACATGGAATAAGGAGTAAGTAGAGAATATTCCTGAACTTCTATGGAAAAATTTGATTTACTTTAGTTACAGTGAAGTCTGTAATTTATAGTGTGAAGTTTATGATTTATATATGTATGTGTTTCTGTGTAATATCATTTATTGGTAATGTTAGTTTCCATCAAGGTACAAAAATATCTTTAATTGCTTTATACAGTCAAACTTAATCCTGTATTAAATAAGAAACTCCTTGTTTTATTAAGATAGTGTATTTGTCCTTTGCTTTAAAGGAATGCAAAGCTTATTATAGGCACACCAACCCCATTCTTTATTAATGAAAGGTATAATGCCATATAAATAGCCAACCTCCATTCCCACTCTATAGGTATTCGTTTTTATGCCACAATGCTCCTTGGCTTTGGTAGCAATTTCATGTTCTTATTCTTCTAATAAAAAGAATCGCATGTCATGTAAAGCGTACTGCTTTAGTTAAATTCTATGATTTAAACATCTCTTTTGGGTTTGCTGAGTTTCTATGTTAAAAATTATGTATGGTTCAGTGTTAATATGTCTAAGAACTTTGAATCTAAAAGATAGTCAATTCAATTGAATTGACAACAGTTCATTTGAAAACTGTTTAAATTAGTTGCTAATGGCAATATCTAAATGAAAAACCATGTGTGTGATGTTCATTATTGTTGAAAGGGAAAACTGTTTTTGTGGGCATAATCAAACTATGCCAAAGGTGTAATATTAATTGTTTGTTCTGTGATACATTGTGTGCGGTTTGTATGTGAAACAGTTGTGAAACTCAAATAAAGCTTGATATTTTCTAATCAAACAAGGTATTGTTTGTACTTTTTCTTCACCCGAAATACCAAGTTCGTTTTTGTCAATATATATCATACTTTTATTTTTCGTGTTTCGAATTTATGACCAATTGTGATCTTCAAAAGTTTTAGAAGTCATTATTGTAGTTACAAGGAAAGTGAAATCCCAATCAATGTTTCTTGTAAAATTTAACAATAATCGCTCTTACTTTAATCTTTAGAAATAATAATAAACAAAAAAATTGACATAGTGTTTGGTAAAACACCAAATTCATGGTCATTGTTCTTTTAGACTATTATGAATTGAGAAATATTTGATAGTTTCACTTTACTTCAAAACAAGCCATTGAAAGTTTTTAATGCCACCCATTAAACACTTTCAAAAAATATAAAAGATGTGAAGTCCACTATTTTCTTGTTTACTGTTAAATATTCCCTAATCTTTGGTTTAATAAAAAAAAGAAGAGAAATTAATACCATGAGACTGAATTGATTTTGAAGTTTTTGTGGATTAAATTATTGTGTTATTGTGTCATTTCTAAACTTTTGACATAGTGGACAAACTATTAGCAGTTGCACTTTGAGAAAATACAGAAACAAAATATCAAAATATATATTTCAATATTTAATTAGAGCAGAATAGCACAATTGTAGGTGAAAAAATGTTTTACCTCAACTTGCTATTGTAAGTATTAATAAAATATTTTAAAACTAACTTTGCTACTTGTACAATAAGAAAAAGAATGTATATGAAGGTTGAAAATGTGCATCATTGCACTTATAAAATCGGATATATCTCTGCAATTGAGAAGTTTTTCGTTATTTAGTGGTGATTTGAGTGCAAAGTTGTAAAATGAAGATGGCAAAATAGCTGTATCAAGAACATTTCAAATAGGGTTCGTATTTGAGCTACATACAAAGCTTTGAATTTGGAACTGAAAAAGAAGCTGGAAATGTGCTAATGCTGTAATGAAGGTAATAATGCTCTAATGGATGACTGCAAAATATGCAATTTTGTTATTATGGCATGATTTGACTTAAAAAACATACATTCCAGTAGAAGGTTTCAATTGAGATTGTTATAACTGGCATGCATAGCGTCACTCCTCAATCATGTTTGTTTTTAAGAAAAAAAAACCAAAACAATTGCATACTCGCCAGTCAAATGTATATTATCGTATTAGTACAACCCTTAATCTTCTGAGATTAACTTTAGGTGAGGTTGGGCAAGTAGGAAAACGATACAATGGTACATCTATCATAATTTCATGTGTGGATATTCTGTACTGTTAAGTGAATATAGTGCAATGGTTATACTGTACTTAGTGTTATAAGAGTATATTTATTTGTCAGAGAAAGTAAATAACAAAATTTATATGTTGTTACTTCTTATATTTATTGATTATTCTAATCAAATTTCGAACATAGTAAGCATGCAGGTATATCAAATTTTTTTTGAAGCAGCGAGTATAATTTTCTTTTTAAATAACATATTTGTATTCAGTAAAACAAATTTGTGAAATACATAAATTGAATAAGTAATTTCAGAGACCCGTCCAGTGCCAATATCTAATACGAACATTAGCAGCAGATTATTGTTCGAAGAGGAAAGACACATCGTTAAGTGCATATTTATGAGAAAAATATTCATTTATCAACTACTTTTAAAACTAAAAATATTTTGATATCCAAAAAATTGGGAGACCTTTTCTGAGTTTTCTCGAAATGAGAAATTTGGCGTATGACGGGTTTCTGAAATACTCAGTTCAATTGACACAAACTCCATTTTTCAAAGTTACCGTTGACTCGAAACTATATATTCAAAATGCTGAATAAAGTAAATATCCAATAATAAGCAAATTAACTAATCAAATTCCAGACTTTATTTGATAGATAACATTGATAATTTGCCACTGGACGCTGCTAATCAATTAAATAAAAACATTGAAAATATGCCAAATTGAATTATTTATACAGCACAGACTTCACCAGCTGATCAAAACCACAGTTGCAATCTGGCAGCAGGGAGTCAAGACCAGTAGTAATGACAAAGTTGATGATGAAATTGAGTCGAGTGTTTTGGTTTTTATCCCTGGACCCAACAAAAACTTCATTTAAATATTGTTAAATTATGAAAAGATGTTAAAATAGCCTTGCCAGATGACGCAAGTCTGTATAGTACATTTGTCACCTTACAGTCTGCAGTACTTTCCTTCTGTTGTCCATAGTTTATTGCTTTTTACTGAGAGTCCTCCTCGTTGGGTAAGTCCATATATTTTTTGTATTTGTACCGTTGTCCTGTAGTTACTCATGAATTTGAACATGGGCAATAATAAACATGGAAAGTAAGGAGTACAAAGGTCAGAAAGAACTGCTGTTGATAGTCCCAGAGAAAGCAAGAGAGATGTCACTCCTTCACAATGGACATACGTTAATTGGGACAAAACTGAAGAAGGAAGGGTATTCAATTCTTCAGGGTTTTATGAGAACTTTTATAAAATAACTCTGAAATCATGGCTCAGTAAAATCTTCCTAAAATACTTTTTTATACATGGGAAAAAATATTAATATCTCATTAAGTTTTTGGAGGTTTACAACAATTGTTCGTGTTTCACCAACATTGCTTCTGTCCTTCAAATACGCTATCTTGCAAGAAAAGACTTAATTAGTCCAAATAAATATGTATTTAGAGTATTATAATTATCCAGTTTTAGAAATCACAGCATTTTCTCATTTTCAAATGTCATAAATGTACAGTTTTTATTTGCAAGGGTTAATGTGGCTTGGCACTTTGGCTGGCACAAACTGGTTTTTTGAAAATATGTTCTTCTCCACTATTCCCTGCCTTCTTTCCAATATTTTCTTTTTAGTTTTTTGGATATTTTCCTTTTATTTGACCTTCAAATTTTTAATCATTCTTTGTAAAATTTACAATAAATTATATTTTTTATTTAAATCAATGATTTTTTGGTGAATCATGGAAACCCTGTAACATATGTAGAAAAACTAATAAAAGAAAAACACCTCAAGTGTCTGCAAGTGTAATGAAACCTTGAAGAAAATTTTGTAATAGAATAAAAAAACCACAATTGGTGGAAAAAGTTAGAACTGTCTGAATAATTAAGAGATTGTGATCTGAGAAAGAGGTGCCATGTATCCTAAGAGTTTAAAGAAAACCATAATTCCAATATCAAATTATACTTGGTTAATTTTTAATCAAACGATATCTATTAATTTGTGTGGTAGTTGTTGAGCGAAAGAAACTATATTCAAGTAGAAGGCCAGTGAGAGTTGAGGAAAAGGAGAATATGATAGATTTATTGCCATTTATTTCTGTAATTCGATATGCTTATTTTAAAAGCTTGCCTCCAATTGTATTTTCTACAACAGCTTAAACAGAATCTTCAACGTCAGTGGTGATGAGGTTGCAAAACAGGAAGGTGAAACCAATACAGGATGCAGTGTACTCCCTTTCTGCTGCTTTGACTGAAGCTTTAATCTTTCAGATCAGTAACATTGGAAGTCTAGTTTACTGTAAAGTTATTAAATTGATAGAAAAAAATAAGCATTAAATCATTAATTTTCTTACAACTGTGAATGTGATGGTTCACTGTATAAGGGACTATTGAAATATATTAGTTTACATTATGCTTAATTTTTTGTTTCTCAACTTTGCAAAAGTATTATTTTCTTAATATATTTTAGAACTTATACCACTTCTGTTTTGCACCCAAATAATAAAAGTTACCATGAAATTGCAGTAGCAGGTAAAAAAAGTTTGGTAAAATTTTGGACAAATTACAGTTGGGAACCAATTGTAGTCCTATATTTTATTTGAGTATAGCAAATGAACTCCATAAAAAGAAAAAGTGTCAGGAAATTTAGATTAAGTTGAACTTTGCTTCTTCATAACTGGGTAAAACACATTAACCTCCATAATAACTTCTTTAAATTTAAAATATTATATAAATATTCATGGGACAGATTAGTAGGTTTTTCTCAGCTGATAAAATGTTTTTGTGAATGACAATTCTTTAGCATTTTGAGCATTGAAGAATCTTGTTCACGATCTGTGGTATCAATCATTTTCTGAGAAGTGTTTAGTGGCCTGGAATAATATAAAAATTAATACTTTTGGCAGCATTATGTAATAGTATTATTATCAGCATTGTTTCAAATGCACAAATATCATAAGAAAAAGATCTAAATGATCTCTTAATGTTTCTAGATATCACATTTTCCTTTCATATGTATTTTATTAATACATATACATATTTTTATTTCATATGTATTCTATAATGTCATGTATTCAACTTTGGTCATGCAGTTTGAGTTAAGCATTGTCAATATTGGAGAGGCTTGTTGGTGATCTGTGGTGTCAACCATGACTGTGAACTTGGGTAAAGTGTATTGCAGCCTTTGACACAAAATTAATAGTTTTCTTGGTATCATTATTGTTTTGAACACACACACACACAAGAAATAACTAAATGAGCTCTTTTATTGCCTGATATCACACCCACACATTGTCTTTGGTAGTCAAGTTGGGTATTTTTGTTATGAAAAATACTTAAGAGTCCTTCAGACAGATTTCAGATTCCAACAGATTCAAACAGATTTTCTTCCGGTAAGCCATATGTTTGTATTGTATGCAGGCACATTCTTGGGACTTCAATTCAAGAAAAAAGGTAAAACATTAGAAAACAGAGAAAAAAAATATTAGTCCTACTCTGTGAAAATATTACTTACATTTTTATTATTTTAAATCTACAATTTGTAAGTAGTTTATTGTCTCTGGTGTCAAAGTTACGAAGACATTAAACCTTTATACCTGACATCACTAACTCTCATTCGTGCTTCACACAATGTATGTCATAAACTTTGATAAAGTAAAATAACTTAATATTTTTTGAATATATATTATTCTGGTAAGCTACATGTCAATGTAAGGGTATAGCCGAATAAGGCCGTGAAAAATGCCCCCCAATTCAATAATTGTAATGCTCATATGAAAGA